TGCATTGAATGTAAATATATAATTTACAACAATATTCACTTTTTTGCGGTGCTCCTATGGAGCTAAATGGAGATAAATCGCTGAAATCGCTGAAATAAACCTATCAAATTAGTAGAGATTTCAACGAGGGGTTAACCACTTTTGAAATCTGGTGTACATGATATTAGAAATCTCGAGAAATCTTGGGAAATCTTAGGCCAGTATTCATAGTTGATTCTTATTTCAAGACCGTCTTAAGTAGTGTCTTAAGACGCTAATGCAGTTTTCTGATTGGTTCGTGACTTCTTAAGATCGTACTTAAGACGGTCTTGAATATAAGAACTGACTATGAATACCGGCCTTTAGAGATTTAAAAAATCTTGAGAAATATCAGGAAATCCTTGAAATCTTAAGAAATCTCGAAAAATCCTAGGAAATCTCCAGAAATCCTGAAAAATCCCTGAGATCATGAAATCTCAAAAATTCGTAGAAATTATTTATACATTGCAAAAGAAGTTCTACGGAATCCAAAAAATCTGAAGAAGTAGCAAAACTAGCTACATTACTTAAAGATGTTAGCCTCTTGCCCAAATTTTTTGACTCGCCGATTTTTGTACAATAATCTCCCAATGCTGTCATGGTATACTTATGTCCTGGCAGGATCTTGAACTTCTCTGGACATTTTGCATAAAGTCCGTAATAATCCTTAGCTGATTTATTTTTGTCCCGAAAATATTCCATTTTTGTTGTAGCAAAATTTTCTAATAGTTCCATGTGCTGTATATAATTTTCGGACATGCACCGCAAGGAAATAATATTGTCATATCCACACATCGTTAATAAGTTTTTGATATATGTTGGGATTGTAGATTTTAAAGCAATTTCTGCTTTATCCCACCACTCGCTATTCAATGTCTCGTCCGTCAACTCCTCAGCTTTGTTTTCTTTATTTTCATCCTAAAAATTTATATAATATTAAAGAAATTTGGAATTGAATTATATTGCAATTTACATGCTTTATAAATCGTATTATTGACAAATTGACGTGAGGCCTCATTAATTGTTCTATACATAACAAATTTTCCAAAGCTGAAGAACGAAGCTCACATACATATAATACTGTATACGAATATTGACGGTAAAGAATTTTTTATATAAGAACATATATAAATATATATAAACATATATAAACACGCATAATTATATATGAAATATGTCCATATATTTCCATATATCCTTCTTTCTTTATTAAAATTACTGTTTGGTACAAGAAAAATAATAATAATGAAAAAACATAAAAAATAATTAACAGAATAATTTTTGCATTATTTCTTTTACAAAAATTAAGTTTGAAGAAATCAAAAGAATTGCTTATATATAATTATATATAATGATTTATATATGATTATATATAAGTAATTTTTTCTCATTTCTTGAAACCTGATTTTTCGTAAAAGAAATAATGCAAAAATTATCCTTTTAATTATGTTTTATGTTTTCTCATTATTATTATTTTTTCTTGTACCAAATAGTAATTTTACTAAAGAAAAAAGGATACATATGGAAATATATGAACATATTTCATATATAATTATATACGTTTATATATGTTTAGATATTCTTATATGTCCTTATATAAAAAAATTTTTTACTGGGGATCTAGTGGACATATGGTCTCAATCTGGAAGCTCTGGTTGATAGATTGATCATCTATCCCAGATAGAAATATGATATCATAATGACTTACTACTTGGGTATGTAATGATTATCACCGATATATAAATACAATGCTGCTTTGCTACGTTTTTCTCAAGTGAACTGATTAAAAAATAAATTTACTGACATCTAAGCTAACATAACCTAAGCATAACATTGCACAACTAAGTGATTGTTTAAAAACAATTGATATCCTGGTTGGCAAAAGTTCGAATTATTATATAAAATAGGCTTTTTTAAATTATTTTTGCATCCAGTGTGTCAATATTATAAGATTCTCAATTGTGATGGGATTGATTGACTGAGATATAACCTCGAAACTCTAAAGCTCATTATTATCTATAAAATCATTTTAATTTAATTGTTATCACTTACCATCATGAGAAACTTATTTCCTAAACGCTAAATTTGATGCACTCAATGCTAATATCGTTTTCTACGAGATCCTCATTATTTGTGTCAACGGTGTAAACGTAGCCAATGAGCACGTAGTAGGATTGTTCCGAATTGAGTAACATAATGTGTTTGAAACACGCGCGCTTCTAGACTAAAGTGGGAAACACACTCTTGAATAAGAAAAGGCATAAGGTATTTGACCAATCAGTGTCTTTCGTTTCCATCGTGACAAAAGAAATGAGGACTCTAATTGGTTTATTTCCTTGCGTATTGTGCATTATGCTTTTATGTTGGAATATGTGCTCCCCGCTTAAGGCTGTTTTCTAGGCTGTAGTTCCCTGCAAATACTGAAAATCTACACTTTTTATATCATGTATACTATAGAGTTTTAACATTGGCAATGTATTTCGGTTCTAGTTATGGATATCGTATTCAAAATTATTATTGTTGCATATTATTTGAAATATCTTATTATTAGGTAATACATAGCCAATAAAATGCTTTTAAATTTTTAAATTAAAATGAATTTAACTACACCTAAATAATTTCACCTTTTGATAGTTTAAAAAGAGTGATAAAATCATATAAAATCTTAAAAAATCTTATAAAAATGCGGAAATCTTACGAAATCTTATAAAATATCTAGAATCTTACGAAATTTTTAAAATCTCTGAAATCTCATGAAATCTCTTGAAATCTTATGAAATCTTGTGAAATCGTATGAAATCTTTTGAATTCCGTTAAATCTTTTGAGATTGTAAATGAAATATTGAAATCTGGCGAATCTTCTGAAATCTTGCAATCTAGAAATCTAGTGTACGCACGATCTACCTAGTGGTTGATCCCTCGGATTTCAATGATTTCAGCGATTTATTTTCATCAGAAGCACCGAAAAAAAATGAATATCATTGGGTAGTTCGCATCCACTTCTTCAAAAGACTATGGCTACGTTTATACCGTGCATTTAGGCCGCGGCCTATACAATAGACGTCCTTGTTTATCCTATAGATTAAACAAAGACACCTATCGTATAGATCGCGGACTAAGCGCACGGTGTAAACGTAGCTAATGGCTGCGTTCGGAAACGTCGCTCGGATGCCTCCGATATCTCGGATTTATCATCTGTCCTCGTTTAATATTTAATGTTAAAGAAGGACAGATGACGAATCCGAGATATCGGAGGCATCCGAGCCATGATGTAAGGATACCAGGACCCGTATTCATAATCGGACCTTATATTTAAGGCTCTCTTAAATTTATCTTCAGATACTCTATGAATTATTTCATTAACTACTGAACATCTAAAGATAAATTTAAGGAAGCCTTAAGTATAAGATTTGAATACAGGCCCAAGTGTTTCGTTGCGCATAACAATACTGGAAACAACCAATCACATTTTTGCATCTATGCACTTTCCTGCGTATAATAACGCTGACATATTGGGGTTGTATTCCGATAGCTGTCGAAAATTTTCTTTTTAGTTACAAGGTTGATAGCGCTGTAACTAAAGGCCATCACACGTACAAAAATTTTAGTCGTAATCGTAAGGCGGTAAGCAAATCGGCCAATCACAGTCCAGCGTTTTAAAACGCGAGATCGTAATTTTGATTGTGATTGGTCGATTTGCTTGCGATCTTACGATTACGACTAAAATTTTTGTACGTATGATGGCCTTTACATAGACCACTGACAAGATAGCAGACAAATTGAATATTTCTGATTTATTTATGTGTATATAATTTAGGAATCATTTGGGGAAATTTGGGAAAAGCATTTAAACATTTGGGAAATAGTATTTTTCTTGTAATTAACAAATTTTATCATGCGTCAAGTTAGCAGACAGCGATTTTATTTAATGTGTTTTATGAATGGAATCGATTAGAAATTATTTGGGGAAGACGTCTTCATTATTATTTTCATTTGGGAAAAGTCACTATTTGGTAATTTAATAGATTTATATATTACGAAAACGAATAAAGCCCGGATGTAGTATGGGTGTAGTAGGTGTAGTACAATGAATATAGTAAACCTAAAATTGTCAAAAATTAATCTAATACGAAGCAAAATTCATCGGGAT